TCTCCATTGGCGTTTGAGCTCAACCCATAGAGATTCTACTTCACCACACCCTATATCCTGGCTCACATCATATTACTTTCCTGTTTTAATCAGCAGTTCCAGCCTAATCCTATTCCATTTCGCCTGCCCAACCTATCCTCCTTAGACAACCCACTTATTCCAGGGTTCAATCTAGTAAACTTTCTCTGAACCACTTCGAATAAGCGTCCAAACGACCAAAACCTGCACAAGGTGTTTGAGATTTGGTCTCTTCCTTTCCCTGTACAAATGAAGCAGAACATCCTTACATTGATGTTTAATTCCTGTGATAATAAAGGATACAGCCTATTGGCTTTCTGGATTCGATCGAGATCTTAGTCAATTGGGTCAACGGGCTAAAGAGTGGCAGATTGAACTTCATTTGAATAAATGTTTGTTTTATCCAAAATGGAATACTTCACATGGGCAGGACTTATACAATTAATAGTAGGGCCCTGGGTACTATTACAGAACAGAGAACCTCGGCTTTCAGGTACATTATTCTTTGAAATTTGTGTCACAGGTGGACAGGGTGGTTAAGAAGGCATTCAGCACACTTGTCTTCATTGCTCAGGTCTTTGAGTAGAGGAGTTAGGACGTCATGTTGGAGGTTGTAAAGGATGTTGCTGAGGACTCTCCTGGAATACTGTGTGCCATTCTGGTAGTCCCGTCATCGGAAGGATATTATTAAACTGGAGTGGGTTCAGAAAAAAAAAACAAAAATAAAAAACAGGATATTACTGAGTAAGAAGGGTTTGAGTTGTAAAAATAGGCTGGATAGGCTGGGACTTCATTCACCGGAAGATAGGAGGTTGAGGCGTAACCTGAAAGAGGTTTATAAAAGCACGAGAGGCTTAGATAAGGTGAATAGCAAAGGTCTTATCCCTCAGATGGATGAGTTCAAAAGTCGGGGGCATATTTTTTACGGTGAGAGAAGAAAGATTTTAAAAATGACATGAGGGGTAACTTTTCTTTTCTTTTTACATAGAGTGCGCTCAGGTGGGTGGAATGAACTGCCAGATGAAATGATAGGTGCAGGTACAGTTACAGTTACAATGTTTAAAAGAGATTTAGAAAAGTACACAAATTCGAAAGGTTTGGAGTGATGTGGGCCAAATGCAGGAAGATGGGACTAGTTTAGTTTGGGAATATGGTCAGGATGGAATAGTTGGACCATTAGGCCTGTTTTCATGCTGTATGACACCATGGTTACATGCTATATCTGCATACTAAC